ATTTTTGCAAGATCGGCAGTAGATAATCATGAAATTACCTTCATCTTGACGAAAAAAATTAACGGAATTGATGCAAAGGTTAAGAGGTTATTTCAAATTTAATTTGAACAAAATTTTGTTTGTCCGGTTAGTTTTGCGTGGCAGTGTATTATACGATATATACATATATATACTTAATTTAGACTTTAATTTATAATTTTAAATAATGGTTCAGTAGGATTGGCCAATGCCTAGACTCTGCCATTTGCATTAAAGCTTTGTTGCTATGTTAATGATACAATAAAGATATATTACTTACTTATTGCTTATAAGACATAAAAAACAAAATATCATTTTCGAATTTTTTCGCGATCACAATCTCTCCTTGCCAGTCGAGTTGGCAGTAAATCCGAAGGCGACTAGGTGTCAGATTCTAGTGCGATTTGATTACATATTTTTATCTTATTTTTCCATGTAGTCAACTCCGTCTTTTAATTTTAGCACCCAAAACTTAATTGCATTGGATTATATCACCCGAGGTGAAACTGCTGTATGGCATTGCTATACTGCAGTTGAGCTGCATTGTTGTTGACTTGGCGGACCTGATTGTCAAGAACATATGTAGAATAGCGGAATGCTTCACGCTCCACGCTTAGCGTTTACCCGAAAGCTGTTCAGTTGCGGCTTCAATACCTCCAACTGTTATTGCTCCTCAGTGTTTGTACAGCTCATGCTCCTGAATTCGATGTTTACTCATATGTATGCAAACAGAAGGGCACATCTTAGGCGAAGCTCACACTGCAGGTGATAGAATCAAGTACGACGATCACGCAGAGCCCCTAAATATTAAGCAAATACTTACATTGTCTAGAATATGTTCGTAGCATTTCGACTACTTGAATTGACTTGAAGATAGAAATACTTGAAACGGTAATGCTTGACTTGAATTGATTTTTTTTTACTGTTCATCTTGACTTGAGGTCAAGGATTTACAAACTACTTAGTACTTGATGACAAATTATATTTTTGTTCTACTAAGGGCCTTTAGTGAAATTTATTAAAAATATATTCCCAAATCTAGTTTCAATAGCAAAAGATTTTTTATCGACACCTGCAACATCAGCATCCATTGAAAACGAATTTTGTAGGGATGCACTGACCGTTTTTTTTATATTCCAACTACCACGAAGGCCTAAGGCCTAAACACCCATGGGGTACCTTGGGGCTACAGGGGGATACAGGGGAAAGGGGGGAACGCCACACGGACTCTGGAGAGGGAACACGTGTGCATTCAACATACACACATTCTGGTCCCGCCTACGACATCCGCCGAGTTGTACCTCCGCGTTCGACAGTCAGAGACCTTCTACCACCTACGGACAATCACAACATCCATAGCCAAGAGAACAATTTGTCTTGAGACGGGATTCGAACCCGCGCAGCCCAAGGCTTCTGATCTGCCTATTTGGTATCTGACTAGCCAAAATAGCTCTTTGGCAGAGCTCGGCTACCCATCGAAGGGCGTTTCTTGTTAGTGATATCAAGTCAGATATTGAGCTAGACTCCTCGCTGTACCCCTTACTTATAGACAGATATATAGAGATATATCAATTTTGTGCAATTTTCATGAAAGTTATAAATCACATGTTTCGCGGGCAGAGAGGATAGATCCCCCTCTCTTTGAACCAAACTTTTCCATAAATATAGTGTGACTTGGGGTAATTTGTGAAAAAGTTGAATTTATCGGGGATTTTTCTACTTGTTCTGGAAGAAAATTATGCCCGACACATCTAGCAACGCTGCTCCACAAATAATTACTATACGTTTTTTCATAACCTTCATAAGCCCGTGGTCAGAAACATCAAGTACCGAGTGGGGTGTAAATGTACCCCAACATTTTTTTAGCTTTTTTCGTAGTTTGTGATTAATCAAAAATAAACACATTCTGATTTATAAAATATATATCTTTACATAGGTATGCTGTAAAGATTGAAAAATAAACACATTTGGAAATAATAATATGAAATCATTATAATATAAAGAAAAACAATTAAGAAAAAAATAATATATCAGAATCTGTGACATTTCAAATAATAATTTAATTATTACACTTGTTACAAACTATTACTTTTTTTGAATGTTCTGCACATTCGTACTGCTTGCAGCGAACACAAAACTTTCGGGATTTCCTGTCTTTACGTCTGTCGCATAAGAAACATCGCTGGCGTGTGCCAATAACGGGAACAAGTTATTTATTCATTTGTTACATTTAATTCTGACAAAATGATTGTTTTATATTGGAATGTAAAAGCTTGTCACTATGGTACCTACGAATTATAGCTATCCTTATTAATTATTGGCCCAACATTATTCTATCCAAACGATTTTTCCCAATCTGGATTTTTCAACGCCCGTAGCTTATAGGCGTTGATACCACCAATGTCCAGTAGATGAAAAAATATTGCCATAGGCCACAGATTACTCTTTGTTAGAGACGTGATTTCCTTTGCCAATTTATCTGCTGTATAGACTGCACCCTTTGGTTTGTTATAGTGTAAAATGTTACATACAGAGCGGGCTGCAGCTGAATCCAAGGTGCAAAACTCACTATAACTTCATACAATAAATAGTAATTTCGTTAAACTTTTCTATGTTAGAAATATATCTTCCTCGAAGGAAATTGAGTTAAAATGAATGTTTTAGAAAATACCCCCAAACATTGATGTCCGGGGTACAATTGTACCCCGCTCGTGTTTATGAAGGATAACACAATCAATTCAATTGTTTATAGTCACACAATTTTGCGAAACGACAATTTTTGTTTGATAAGTATATAGAAACAAGAATTATGGGAACAATAATTATACTAATATAGATAAAGCAACCGAACTATTCATAGAGAAAATAAATAAATTGATATATATTAGTACTAATGAAGTAAAAGAGAAAAAGAGAAAAAAATTCCTGGATTATCAAAGGGTTGATAACATCAGCACTAGAAAAAGAAAGGCTCTATAAAGTTGCAAAACTAACGCCAACTATAGAACATATCTACTGCTACAACCAATACAAAAGTAAATTTATAAAGCTTGCAAGGCAAACAAAACGATTACCAAAATGAATTGGATAATAACTTAAATGATTCTAGAAGCGACGTGGTGAAAGGAGGAATCCACGGTTTTTTGTTGAAAGACATGTTCATCACACTGTTGGAGTTATGGTTTGGGGTGCTATAGCTTATGGTTCCAGGTCACCTTTAATCTTCATCAGAGGTAACATGAACGCGCAGCGTTATATCCACGAAGTTCTAGAACCCCATCTTTTACCCTATCTTGACACCCTGGCAGATCCAACTTTCCAACAAGATAATGCCCGACCACATGTTGCAAGAGTCACAATAGACTTCTTTCAACATAATGATGTCACATTGTTACCATGGCCACCAAGATCTCTCGACTTATCCCCAATTGAGCACGTGTGGGATATGATGGGTAGGAGATTGCTCAATTTGCAACGTCCTCCTCAGACTCTAGAAGCACTTCGAGAGGAGTTGGTGGTTGCCTGGAATGAGATACCACAGGAGGACATTGACCACCTGATCAGAAGCATTCCTAGGCGCGTTGGAGGATGCGTAGCACATCAGGGTGCATCCACACATTATTAAAGGTCAAAGGGCTTTAAAGCAGCGCAATCATTTTGAAATTTTTATCATTTACTTATTATGCTTCATTAAGTACTTATACTAAATTTTATTAAAATAAAACCATTTAAACTGTGTGTTCGGATTTATATGTCACTTAGTATATGTAATAGGAAATCAATTTGTTTAAATTACTCGGTGGTTTAATAGTGGAAAATTAAGCATCTATTCTGAAATGCATTTTTTACCATGTGCATATTTACTAAACTATACAAATTTCTTTTTCAACATTAATGATCAAAAGCGGCAAATTAATAGAGTGCCAAACATAGAATGGATTGGATCCTCACGTACTTTGGGACATTCATGGCAGTTATATTTTAAAGAAAGTTAGGTTTGTATAGTACAAAATTAAATACCTTGCGAATCGGGTTGGTGTCACCCCCGCTTAGGGGGCTGCACGTGCTAACGTGATTTTTTGCCAAACTTGTGTCCCCCTCGAAAACAAAATCGACGGGTCTGAGCGTTTTTCAAAAAAAAACTGAGCTGCCAGTAAATGCGTCTGTTTCTTTTTTGATGCGCCACCCTGTATATTATACACTGATTGAGCATCTTCGCACATATGGTATATTAGCATGGGGAGCAGATTTTGCGATAAATCTGATATGCGAACAAATTACTATCTGATAATAATTTCAAGGCCTAAGCAAGAAATTCTGCTTTTTTGAAATAACTAAGGTTTGGCAATATCAATGTATGACACATATCATGCATCTTTGGAATCAGAATTGAAAACTCTAATCATATGTGTAAAAATCCAATATGGCGTCCATTAAAAAGAATGATGATGAAACGTCTTATTGAAATTCTAATTATGCCATCTTGTAGAGGATAATAAGTTAGTATGCCAATGTCTGATTTATTTTGAAACACCACTACAAATAGGCCACGACAAAATTGAAACGTTTTGAGAAAATTCGGTTTTTTCCATCTCTCTCCCGAAGAACTTTGAATTTCGAAACTTTCTAAGCGTCAGTTTGTTGATTACCGCAACTTTTTCCCTATTCAAATCACTTCGCATCTCTTGCAGTTGCCGAGATCCCAATGGTGAGGGTCGAACACCCTGTATATAAGGCGAAGCATCATATTTATGTAACACAACCTATACAAAATAGTGGTTTATAATATTTGATTGATTACAACTGAAATCACTTGTAATATCGAAAGCATTACATGACCTCGATAAAACGTCTGGTTGAGCTGAGTCCGTAATTGTGAGAGATACTCATTTGATCTCTAGTCATACATTTTTTACGTATAAAGTTTTTTCCCATAAAATAGTCACACCTAAATTAATGAATAGATTCTGATTTTTGTTTAGTTGATTCAACGGGCAGTCTTAAACATAACGCAAGAACATCTGTTCAGCCATTTAGAGCAGTATTCTCTCATAATTAGAGGCAAAGATGATGCCAGAACACGTGGAAGATATTCGCAGTAACGATTTTTGATGAATTCATGCTCACGTAGTCAGCGGAGTTTAGGATGAAATAGAATTATGTATACTCCACAAACGCCTCGCTTTCTAATTGAATCAAATAAGAGCGTGCTCTAATTGCTCACATTCAGCCTAAATGTAGTATGGGAATCGAAACCGAAATATCGTCGGCAGAAAATGGAAGATGTACTTGAAAATACCAAAGCGTACAGATTTACTAGTAGTAGGCTCACTCCACAGTAGAGAGTTTCTTCTTCTTCAATTCATTCTTCCGCTTGTGAAGCAAAACATGTTTCATCAGTCAGATGATTAGAGAATTTCGCATGCGTGTATCGTCTACCCATGGCTTAACGACAGCTTTAAGAAAATTGTTAAATTCAAAGAGCTTTTTTGTTCAGAATAACGCAAAAAAGCTATTTCGATGGACCTTGTACTCTGAATAATATGGAGTTGATCTTCTTTCGTTGGTGTCCACCGAGATAAAACCTACACCATGCTGAAGAGTTTCCGAAAGCACAAAACTGCTGTCTATGGTTAGCCGTTTGTGGTCGGATGAACAAAAGTTATATTACTAGTACGAATAGAGGAATTTCTGCAATTTACTTGAAAAAATAACCGATTAGACAATGTTTGACATAATTCTGAGCCTGGCAACATGCAGCTTTGTCAAAGGGAATCCTCAATAGTCAACACGTAAGAAAAGTCAGGCTTTGGACATCAAAAGAACGAGCTTGCGACGAATTTTGAAGCGTGATTTGCATTTGAAGGCTTATAAGATTCGACTAGTCCAAGATTTAAAACCAGATGATGCCAATAACAGACTTAACTTTGTCGATTTGGTGCTCGACCGATTTTAACAACGAGGTGTTTTGTGATGAGGCAAATTTTTAAGTCAATGGCCATGTTGACAAACAAAATTGTCGATTCTGGTCCGAAACTAATCGCCGACGCTTGCATGAACGTCCACTTTACAGCCCTAAACTAGTCGTGTGGGCTGGAATTACGTCAACCGGTTTTATTGGACTGTACTTTTTTGAGGACGAAAGAGGGCACGCGATGACAGTTAAAGCTAACAATTATTGTAATATGATAACAGGCTTTTTGGTGCCAGCATTGCAAGAAATCCGAGGCAGTACCTCTAGAATGTGGTACAGCTAGGATATCTACAGAGCTGCTGAAAAATGTCTTTCAAGGAAAACTCATTTCGAAAAAGGGGGAAATTGAATGGCCACCACGTAGCCCCGATCTTTATCTATGCGATTATTTCCTATGGGGCTTCATCAAATCGGTAGTTTACGAGAACAATCGAACTAATTTAGAGCAACTGATGAGGAATATTGTTAAGGAAAGTAACAAAATACCGAGAACAACTTTTCAACGAGTTTTCCAAAATCTGCAGATTCGGTTTCAAGCGCGCCAAGCAGCAGAAGGAAGTCATTTGAACAACATTATTTTTAAGTCTTAAAAACTCCTATCTTCCTACCTTTTGAAAATATATTTATTTTTCTTTTATATTGCGTAGTTATTTTTTAATTGAGTATTGAAATTGGCAACACCTTTATGGCCCACCCTGTATTTCCTAGACTCTGCCTTGTACTAACCACTCTCCCCAAATTGGTACTTAAGAGGTGGAGTAGAATAATAGGAAACATTCAGTATGAATATAAAATTATGCTGAGATAATCTTCAAAAAGTGACTGGATTTTTGATTAGGCACTGACAGATGAGACACGTAAGAATTTTATGTTCTAAATGAAACCACTTATGTGGATATTTTTTACTGACATTTCAGCCGCCTCGGTGATCTTTTACAAAATACAATGACAATGACAATTATTTTGTACTTATCTGACTGACAGGTGACAGTTCTTTTGTTTTTCATTCGACACTATACAGTATGTTGTGGAAACCGCCTGAATAGTCCTGTACCACGTCGAGTTCGCACGAAGCCATCGTTACAGCTGTACCGCGTATAATCAACAAAGCCAAGATAATAATAATAATAACGCCTTTATTTGTTGTACAGGTGAGGGACAAAGATAGCGAAGTTTAGCCTAGGCTACTCTTACACTTAACTATCTTTGTCAGTACATTTAGAGCACGATGTGATGTGCGTTTCCTAAGATGTTATAAAAAAATTATAGGTATAACTAAACTATAGTATAAACTAAAATACACAACTATATACAGTATGTACATGGATACATATATGTATACACATATATATACACATGTATATATATATATATACACACACACATACACACCTATCATATATACACCCATACACACCTATAATATTTAGATACATATATACATAAGAAAAGACACTGCACCAATATCGGGTAAGGGTAAATACAAATTGTTTTATTTGTTTACGGAAATTGGCAGGAGACATTTCCTTGTATTTACCTGGTAAAGCATTGTAAAGTATGGCAGTATTATACGAAAAACAACGCTTGAAAAGTGTCACAGAGTGAGGCGGTATTCTGATTATTTTGCTCCTGCTGTGAACTTAATGACTAAATGTAATCTTACCTCTCAAATAAGCGGGCCTTGACGTAGCTATCAACTTGTGCAAAAATATTAAGTACTTGTACTCAACTAGCTTGCCAATTTTTAGCCGTTTCATACGATGGTACTTATCGCTAACATGGTCAAATTTTCTCAGCCCATGGATGAAACGGATGCAATTATTTTGAATAATTTGCAGCCGGTTCTTCATGAACTGGTCGAGACATGGATAGTACAGACTATTGCAATAATTTAAGATTGACATAACAAGAGACTCACACAATTGTTTCCTTAATTTGTAATTTAAAAGATGACGATTGGCAAATAATGCTCTCATTCTGGCATATGTCTTTTTAGTTAGTGACATGGCATTGGCCCATAACCTTAATTTGCTGTCAGATCTGCCAAGAGTAGGCATCCCTGCGCACATAAAACGTCCATCCCAATAAAGTGTCAAGCAAGCATGAGATTATCTGTTGTTTTTAGGCTATCAGACACATCACGCTCGCTCATCGTCTCGGAAACGCCAAGCTTCTTCGATGTGCGCAAAAACGACCCAGAAGTATTGTCACAACGCACCGGTTGACAGTTATGTAATCTTAGATTACCAATGCTGCATTGTTCATGGATTCGATATTCAATAAATAGTACTTCGACAACTCAAGGGCACCATGGTGTTTGTCTTGAGAGGAAATATATATTATACAGGGTGTTTCACAACTTATCCGACAAAGTTTAACCACATATCCACTGTTACGAAAGAAGTTTTCTCAAAAACAAAAAAAAATGTAATAAAAGTCCTACAGATAATAAAATAATACAGTTTGACAGTTCGCTTACTTATAAAAGCTGTTCAGAATTGTTTCCGTTGACTGCAATGCAAGCTTGGGCGTGTCTAATCCGATTTCGGCGCACTAATTCAAAAACACCTCTTTCCTGCTGCGCCTGAAGGCTTAAATTATCGGCAGCTATTGTGATTCGGTCACGCAACCTAATTTCTGTAGGACTTTTATTACATTTTTTTTTTTAGAAATCAACATCTTTCGTAACAGTGCATATGTGGTTAGGATTTGTCGGATAAGTTGTAAAACACCTTGTATAGACACACCATTTTAGTCTTGAGATGGCGAAGCAAAACATCCCGCATTCAGGATTAAATAAAAAACCACGAGAAAAACCCTTATGGTCCGCTAATCGGTTTGGAGAATATCAAGAATTCTAGATCAAAGTGGGTTACAATCCACAGAGGAACTAGAAAAAAAAACTGATGTTTAATTTTATATTGGCTAATTTTTTCAAGTACCTGTCCACTACTATTTTGAAAAAAGCAGCCGCGGTGGCCGAATTGTCAGTAAGGATAATTTATACATATATATAAATATACAGGGTGTCCGCAAAGTTGGGGTTTTCCTTTTCAGAAACAACTACCCTTGAAATAACAAAGGTAGTGAAACGAGGGCGACCATGTGAAAAAAAATAAAGGAAAAAGTACTCACTCTCCAGTTGACGAGAAGGGCTAAGTACGTCTCTGCCCGAAATCATACCGCTCCAACAGGAAATGAAATCAGCTGATGCGCTACCGAGCAGACGCAGAAACCACATTGATTGTCTTACACTTAATGGCACATCTTCTAACAAGGAAGGCAAAATGTTGCGTAAAAAGTCTAGGTATTGCATCCCGTCCAATAGATTTGAGAGAATAAATGGTCCAATGAGCATACCGTTCACCATGCCAGCCCAAACATTCACCGAAAATGTTTGTTGAAAATGTCCCCGTCCTTTTGTTTTTATACTGAACACAAGTTCGATCTTCTCTACGTTCTTTCTGAAACACCTTGTGGCTGCAACCTCACCGACGAGTAAGTTGTCTGACATTTTAAATCTGTCTTCTTTGCTAGCATCACAATTGTGTTTTCAGAATCCTGATGATGGCTCCATAGAGAATGCCGAAAGCTTGATTTTATCGTCAAAAGAGTCAACTTTAGCCTAAAAGTTTTGCCAATTTCCAATTACCAAGTAATTGTATTTTGTACCCAACTAGTCGTTGGCTTTGGCAATGACTACTTCTCATATACCTGTATATATACATATATGGTTTCATTTGGCCAGATAATCACTGAGTAGCATGAAAACCACAGGATGTATTAGGTATTACAGTAAAGTTATAAGATTGGACTATTCAGCTCATGATGACCGTACACCCACAGACGACTCATAAACAAAGACTGAAATTTAAACCCTTCCGATATAGGTGTCTATGTATAATGTCCAGGATATTTTTTTCTCTAGATGATTCGTTAAATTAGGTACAGGTTGTTTGGAAAAATGACAGAATAACGAAATTGCAACTATAACCAATAGTGACTACCTTAGAATTGTGACATTTGAATTTAACTCAAAAGAAACTTGAGATTCCTCCATATTCGCTCTGTTTCTCTCCAGTTAAGTGAAATGCTCACAGTCTGATCCTCAATAGAAAGTTGTTCAAG